AAAAAAAAAAAAAAAATTATCTATATATATCATTATTTTCTACATAATATCATATATAATATTATATAATATATATCTAAAATTATTTTAATATATATATATCATATATATATATATATCTATATATATATATATATCATATATATATATCTAAAATATATATATATATTATATACTATATATATATCTTATATATATATTTCTATATATATATATATATATATATATATCTATATATATATATATTATATATATCATATATCTATATATATATAAAATATATCTAAATATTATATATATATATATCTATATATATATATTATTATATATATATATATCTATATATATCTATATATATATATCTATATAATATACTATATATATATCATATATATATATATATCTATATATCTATATATATATATCTATATATATCTATATATTATATCTATAATATATATATATATTTATATATATATAATAATATATCTATATAATATCTATAAATATTTTATATATATTTTAATATATATATATATATATATATATATATATATATATAAACTGGTTTGTTGACCAAACCTTTAGTGTACAAATTGCTTTGTAAAGGAGGCTGTTGTGAACTTAAAAAATTAATATCATCATCTTTAACTAATTTAAACAAGTGAGTACTCAAGTGCTACATAGGGCAGGCCAACTACCAACAGGTCCTGTCTTCGGTTAAGTTAAACCATTCTAAACCAAAAGGAGCAGGGCCTTCAGGAGGGGCGGCTACTCCCTCCCAAATAAAGTACTGTACACAAAAAAAAAAAATCTTAATCAGAAGAAACTCATTACTAGAATAGTATCTATACAGGCAAAACATTTCACTTGTAATGCATACTTAAATATATATATATATAATATATTAATCAAAATTAACACACTATACCTGAGAGAGAAACCTTGAACTTGAAGTGCCTCAATATAGAAATTTAAACAAACAAAACAGGCATACCTATTTTTAAATAAGATGAGAGCAGAATAATCTTGTCAAAATCATGCAAACTCATAATTGCAGTGCAATACCACTCAAGGTTTCTCTCCATTTAGTGGTGGTCGACAGGAAAAGGTAGCGCAGCAATTGGATGCAGGTAACAGCAACTAGTTACTGATTGGGCTAGTATGAGCCAAAATAATTACCTCTAGTCATGAAACAAAACTTTTAGTAATGCATGTTAGCAGGAAATTTCAATTTAAATTAATGATCCTCGTTCTTATTTATGGTATATTCTAAGTAGACACATTCCAAGAAGTCCAAAACCTCGAAGTTTCAATGTCGGCCAATTGGAATGCCTAATGGAAGAGGTAATAAGGTGGAATAAATTATAGTCTAACTAAATTATAATGGAAGCAGTGTGCTGGTTAAAAGCTCAGCCCAACCTGCTACAAATCAACTCTGCTAATTTAAAAATATACCTAAACCTCATGAGCAGGTAATTATTCTACCTTGTCCTCTCCCTAATATTAACACTATCAGGATTCCCCACCAATTTAACCAACTTACTGTACATACAAATTCAGTTTCAAGCACAAAATTAACCCATGGAGTACAACAATACACAAATGTTTCACTGGTGAAGAACTTCTTTGCACTAAATATAGAGCGGTATAACAAAATGGGGATACCAAGTTACTGAATAGCTAGACCATGTCTTAAAAAAAAAAAAAAAAAAAAAAAAAAAATAAAATAAACCTTGTCTGGGTCAGCCAAATTAATTTTCGTAAGTAAAATTTTAAAATTTGAGTTTATAAAGGGGGGGGGGGTCTATTATACATGATTATATTAGCTATGTAAATAAAGTCTGATATACACATTTAAAAAGTGATTACGCCATTACACTGTAACGGATATCAATTTTAACTGGAGAATTGTAAAAGAAAAAGTGACATACATACAAACAAATGTGAAGAGCTTGGCATCTGTAAAGGTACACTAATACATACCCGTATTTTCAAGCAAGGTTTTAGGAGTATTTGGCTTGTTAATGATGAAGATAAGGTCATTGAGAACAAGGTTAATGTACACACGCATTTCTGGGCCTGAAATTAATAAAATTAATTACAAATTTTCCAAATAATTATTGAGAGAAATCATGATTCAATACTAAAACCTGCAAAAAATACTACAGGCTTTCCATTATTTATATACAGGAACTGTACAAATAGTAAATTGTGGGTCACAAAAAAAATGGAGCATACATAATAAAATACAGTATGGTATTATCCACTCAACATACAACAGCAATAATGTAAACCAAATTTAAAAACCACAAATAAAATTGTTACAGTTCAATGGGATACAATACAGGTTTGTATCTCAGTTTCAATCATCATTTCCGAGTATTAAAACTACTTCAACTTTCCCAAATTCAGAGTAAACATTGCAATTACTCAAGTTTTCTGCAATATATCCAAAACTCAAGTACAACTAATCGATTTCCCTGAAATCTTATGGTGACATTTCTACATTTACTTTCCCACATAAACACTAACCACCACTCATTCCAATCTAATATAAGCCAGTTGGGTGTTTAAAATTTGACAAGTTTTTCATAACCTCCTTTCAACCCTTCCTCAAACCACCTTACATCCATCCCAAATTTCTACACCCACTAACACTGCCCATTTACTCCAGTCTTTCTACGAGATCTTTGAATTCTGTCTTTCTTACCTTTACGCTTTTATTAGGTTTTGATGTGATTATGGATTTTGGATTATCGGTACTGGTCTGAGTATGCCAAGCCTATCCTAGGGCCACAGTCTGGCCCTAGGTTAGGCTTTGCATAATACACCATCTTGTAACATATTCATGTCCTAAATTGACCTTTCACATTTCCACAGACTCAAACACTCTCCACTTTGCTGCAATATCCATATAAAAGCATCTGCACCATTAGACTGACATTTCTCCTCTTGATATTATTCCCAATTTCTCAACTCAGTAACAAAGTTTCTCAGCAGATAGCCTCTAAAGAGGCTGTAGTGTTTGCTGCTGCCTCTTTGATGTTCTCTCGCATCTATTTATCTCCTTTTCATACAACCACCAACTGATATGACCTACAATCTTTTATTTATCCTATTACTTATTTTCATCATCTTGCTCTTTTCTGTATTCACATTAAACTTTTCATTTACAACCCCTTCCTAATTCCATCATCACAATGTATAATTCTTATTTGTACACAATCACTCAACGGAAAGCTTCGTGTGTCTCACTTGATAGACCTTTCCCAAATATGTAAGCATTCACTTCTCTTACAACCCATTCATACAAACATCACTACAATCATCCTTGTATAAGACCAGCTTTTATTAAGAAACAATTACCCTTCATTTCTCAACACCTTAACCTATTATAAAAGTTGTAGGGACAGAGCTCCAGCTCTTGGTCCTACCTCAAATCTCAACACATGACATAAAATAGCCCAATCACAATTATTTTTAACCTCTTATATAGAACCTGCTTCTTATACTCCTATCTAATCGCCTTTACTTTAATACATGTCAAATCAATTAGTCAAAAGCTAAAAGGGAAGACCAAGAGGTATAATTCATCCTCAACACAAAAATTCACATATACATAAAGGGTATCCCAGAAGTCAGCACCCAGAGGGGCAACAAAGGCACAACTGACATTAATCAAAATGACTGTTACTAACAACTATACACGTTAAATTTAACCCTTTTGGTGTTGGTCCCATTATATTATGGCTTTGAAGCCAGTGTTGGTCCTGTAGTACTACTACAGTTAAGTTGTGAGCAGTAAATCTGGGCCTAGATATGAGAATGGGTCTATGTGGTAAGTGTGCATGTCAAAAAAATCCTGTAGCACTCAGTGGATAATGAGAAAAAAAGCTGACCATGCTTTTGGTTTAAAACTGCGAATTTGCAGTGTATTTTCGCGTGGTTTTCAAGATTGTATTCTTGGTCTCATTTCACAGAATGGAAGATATATTACAGAAAGAGAGATGATTTTGACTGGTTTCAGGACCAAAGGTAGTTTGAAATTGAGCTCAAAGTAGTGGAAATGTTAAATTTTTGCCAATAGTCCAACTGGCCAGTCTAATATGCACTTAGGTATGCATCGATATTATGTATTTTTTGTGTGAATAGAAATTCAAAATGGAAAATAAGCATAATATAAGAGACCTGGAGACATGACTAAGGAACAGAGGAAGTTTTTTTTAGTGCTAGGAATGTCTACATTGTTTATTCTAGGTCCTATTTTTAAACTGGCATTTTTTTTAATTTTGTGTGAAATTGGCCAAATTACCAATTTCTGAACACTATTGGGTAGTTAAAATAGGTAAGTGGGCAGTTTCTTGTACTCAATAGAATAAGAACATAAGAATATAAGAAAGAAGGAACACTGCAACAGGCCTACTGACCCATGCGGATAAGAGGGAATACTAGTGAAATAGCTATGAGTTTGGTCGACTGGAACAATGGAATTGGTGAAAAATAGAGTGCAATCACCAATGCGTACATATCACCAAGACCACTATGTGAGAGCATAATTCCGTAAGTTTTCCATCAAATTTTGTACTTTTGGTTTCATTGCCTTCAGAAAAAGATTATCATTTCGTAAGAAAATATATTTTGAGACCCTGAAAGCAGGGGTCACAACCCTGAAAGCAGGGGTCACGACCCTGAAAGGGTTTAACCATTCCAAATATCATTTGTGAAATTAATTTGTACAAATGTTAATGGCATTCACGCCAAATAATAAACAAATTAAGTAACTTGCGTATTTATCACTACTGGTTCAAACTTGAGGGACATCCTGTAGACAATGAAGCTAGCATACACATAACATGCTACATTAAAAATGACTAAACATTCTAGGTAAAAATTTAGACTAAGTTTCCAGTCATTTTATGGAAAATAAGGTTATAGAGCACATCAGATATTAGAAAAGGCACATTAATAAAAGTCTGGAAAGCCAATTCACTGTGAAAACACCGTACAGATATAAAGATCTTTACTACACTTTAGACACGTAATTAATTCTGAACATGATCATAAGATAGCTACACCATCTTAAATGTTAATAAAATCTGTTGAAGTGTTCAGACAAGTTAAACATTTTACGAACTCAAAACTTTTCTTACTCACCTAGTTTCACTGAAATTTCACCTATGGCCCATGTTGCATTATTGCACACAGATATCAGTTCAGGGTTCAAGTTCTGACCAAGAATAGGCATAAATTCAGCTGAAAAGAGAGCAATCACAAATATCAGGCACGATACAACTAAAATTATGACACTTGATACATGTATAATAAGAACAGCCCCCCTTAGTAAACTACAACACATCTAATATGTACAAGACCCTAAACAGCTATTTTTTTTGTGGCAAGTATAATATTATGACAAATTATAAAAACCAGACTTGCCTCCACTTTCCACATTATAACTTCAGAAGCTCACAAAACATAAGCACAATCTTTGTATAAAAAAGAAAAACCCCATTTAGTAAAATTATATATTCATGGGGAGAGCAGTAAACCTGTAGGGGTCATACAGCTCTAAGAATCAGGTATAATCCAAGGGAAGGACGGCTCTAATTCCTTTGATCAAGAGTCCCTCAATGACATCTCTTGACAGACCATTCAGTAAAACCATGAAATATGTGGTGCATTAAGCAGAAAAAACAAAATGAATACATTTTAGGTTATTTCCCTATTGTTTACTTTTATTCTAACTCCTTGGCTTTCTCCCACTAAGGGTGACCCAAAGACAACAACACATTCACCAATATCCATCTTTCCAGAAGTGTACTGTCCACCTCCAGGACTCAAGTCTTGCTAACTGGTTTCCTTGAATTCCTTCATAAAAGTTTCTCTGCTCACACACCAACAGCACATCCATTATAAAGCTCTCTTCTCCATTCACTCCTATTTAACACTCACAAAAGCCCCTAATACTCAAAGCCTCTTGCACCCCATCCCTCCAACCAATGTGGGACAACCCCCTTCCCTTCCACCCCACATCTATACACCCTCTATCAACCCATCCCTGTCCGTCCTCTCTACATAGCCAAACCAACTCAACAATCCCTCCTCAGCATTCTGAATTATACCCTTGGTCACCCCACATCACCTTTTAATTTCTATACTCCAAATCCTCTAGTGTGAAATTGACCAAATTACAATTTCTGATAACTTCACTGGGTAGCTGAAATAGGTAAATGGGCGGCTTCTTGTATTTAATCATTAGAAAGAATAATAGTGAAATAAATGAAATATCACCGACACGTAAATATCACCAAGATTGCTAACTTTGAGAGTAATTCCGTACATTTTCCATCAAATTTTGTACTTTTGGTTTTGTTACCTTCAGAAAAAGATTCCCTATCATATAAAAATTTTTTAAAATTCTCCAACCCTGAGAGAAAGTTTCAGATCAGGGATTCTGACCCTGAAAGGGTTAAGGTAAACTCAAACAGGTAATTACATTATAATCTGCAAACCAGTTAAATCTTTTTTTAGGAACGACTCTCATTCTACCCAATTATCTGCTTTCTGCAGTCTGATCCTAAATCCAATGAAATTCACATTTTTGTTCCAAATTCAAAATGCTGTATTTGTAACACTTCCAATCTAACTTTCAACAGATTAAATGAACTCATTGAAAACATTGTACCAAATTATACTATCACACAATGCATATGAAGATGGCCATATTGAAGTACCTCCTTAGAAGACATACATGGAAGTGCAATATACATCATCTGAGAAGCAGACAGTTCAGCAAATATATATATATTTTTTTTTCAACAGGTTGGCCGTCTCCAACCAAGGCAGGGTGACCCAAAAAGAAAGAAAATCCCCAAAAAGAAAACACTTTCATCATCATTCAACACTCACCTCACTCACACAATCATTGTTTTTGCAGAGGTCCTCAGAACACAACAGTTTAGAAGCATATACGTATAAAGATACACAACATATCCCTCCAAACTGCTAATATACCAAGAAATAATTACAAAGAGCTTTTATTTTTCATATATACCCTCCTATCAAACATGCAGAAAATTACCAATAAACCCATGAAGAAGAAAAATATACCTCTTTTAAACTATCATCCAGACTGTTTATCTTATGTCAGTTTTCAGAACCAACAACCTAGTTAATGAAACTGTCAATCAAAAAGCTAGTTCTAATCTGGCTTTAGGTAAGAAACTGGTTTTAAAATGATGTATAGAAAAGGATAAATCATGTTTATTAAAATGACTAAAGGCTTTTCTACTATAACTATCATTTGAGGGTGATCTCCAAGTGAAACTAAGGCATAACAGATTTTGTTTACACACATCTGCCATTTTCAACCAATAGTTACCTAAAAATGAACACACACTTGTCATCAGTGATTCCCAAGCCCTTTTGAGAAGTTCATAGGCTTCACAATTCAAATAGTTACATATAAATACAGCACAAGGAAGTCGCATATTGCATTTCCATCATGAAATACGTAAATATACACCACGAATCAAAAGATGCCCTTTTTGAGATGCCTAATAATCAAGCAATGTATTTTATAACTTTTCATTCACAAAAACTACATTTAGTCAAGCACTAAACTAAGATGTTAAAACAATCACAGATAACATAAAGCTTACTTAAACTACATCAACACTTCATAATACTCACCAAAATCTGGTACAAAAATAATGATTATATAAAATATTTTATCTACTTACATATACAAGGAGCCACATACTGGAAACATGCTTTGGTCAGGTCACCCAGTAGTGCAAAGGAGCTTTGTCTAACTTCTGGCATGGGGTCCTGTTAGAAATTTTCATGGGGTTAGATTTAAGGGACTGGGGATTTATTCATCTAAATAAAACCATAACTTTACATTGTACACAAAAAATTAGGAGAGGTTTCATTTCTAACTGCAATCATGGTACAATATTAGTTTATCACTAATAAAAATGCCCTAGAAGTTAAAAAAAAAAAAAAAATTTTAACTATCCAAGAAAAAACAAAACATGTACCAACGCACTTTAATACAAACTGGCTAACTTTCACCCATCTAGATCAACAATAGCCTAAGCTTCAACTATTTCACTGACAAAAGGCACACATGCATACCACACACACACACATACACACACACACACAGTTTTACCTGCATAGCCTGAAAAAGTAGTTGCATAATATTAGACTGCTGAACCAGCTGGCCTACATGACCATTCAGTCCCTCTGCTAACCCAGACAAGAGATCCAACGATACAATCATGAAGTCCTTATCAGCTGCTTCAAATTGCCCTGGGCTCTGTGCATGTGCCTGAAAAAGAAACAATATTCAACATTATCCAACAAACTAAAAGAGGGAGAGAAACTTTTTAATGCATAAGTACATGGAATTAGGTAATTAGAATAAAGGTGAGAAATGAGAAGGTATAGCAAATTGTTTATGTACTTCGGGGGAAGAGAAGTGTGTGGACGAGATTTTGGGAGGTGTTAAGCAAATCTTCAGGGAGTTTTGAACCACCATTAAAAAAAAGAAATTGCTGTGGGAACATGAATACTAAAGTGGGAGAGACTGTTGTAGCTGGCACAGTAGGTAACTTTAGAGTGCCTGGGGTAATTGAACTACACACACAGGTTTGGCAACACTGCAGGTACCATAATACTTAGTTTTAACCCTTTCAGGGTCCACAGGCCCTCTCAGACTTGTTCTCAGGGTCCTCCAAATTTAAAAAAAAAAAAAAAAAAAAATTCTTATGAAAAGATAAATGAATCTTTTCCCAATCATAATGACACCAAAAGTATGAAATCTGATAGAAAACTTGCGGAATTATGCTCTCGCGAAGTTTGCGGTCTCGACGATGTTGATGCATCGGCGATTTTGCCCATTTTGAGCCCTATTTTCGGCCAATTCCAATGTACTAGTCAACAAAAATCATAACTAGTTTGCTAGAAATCCATTTTTTCTATCGAATGAGCACAAGAGACCACCCATTTCCAATTTCAACTATCCAATACAGTGGTCAGAATTTAGGAATTTTGCCAATTTCACACAAATTTCAAAAGATGCCAATTTCCAAATAAGGTCCAGAATAAACAAGAAAGACATTCCTGGCACTAAAATAACATTTCCTCTGTTCATTAGTCACGTCTCCACGCCTCTCTTGCATTCTTTTGCTTTCCATTTTGAATTTTTATTCACAAAAAATAGAAGATTTACTGTTATGCAGACTACTGCATTAGAGTAGAAATGGTATAAATAATATCGGCGCACTTGTGAAAGAATGTCAGACTCACCAGTTGACGTGTATTGGACGCTTAGCATGATTTGTTTACTTTTGAACTCTGGTAAAAAATCGAACGTTTCTGCTACTTTGAGCTCAATTTCAAGGTACTTTTCATTGTAAAACTAGTCAAAAATCATCTCAATTTCTGCAATATGTCTTCCATTCTATAAAATGAGACCAGGTAAACTAGAATACAACAATAAATACCATACTAAAATACAATGCAAAGTCGCTGTTTTAATCCAAAAACACGGTCAAAGTTTTTTTTTTTCTCATTACGGACTGTGTGCCTGACTCAAGAAATTGTAATGACACGACTGACTGCGGGTTCAATCCCGACCGGGGGTATGGACTGTGTGCTGCAGGATTTTTTTTATACTGAGCACACTGACCACATAGACCCATTCTTTCATATGTAGGCCTACCAGCTTTCTCTCACTAGATTTGAAGGCGCTAGAATTTCTGAGTACTAGTACGTCAAGGACCCTGGCGAGTAAGCCGTACTAGTACGGCCGAAACCCTGAAAGGGTTAAAAAACAAGTACTTTGCTAGACTATGTGCATTTTTTTTTTCTGCAGTGGCATGTCTGAACATTATTTATTGGTAGCTATAGGAGAATAAGGAGAATTACATCAGTAAGATGTGCGAGCGAATGAACTAAAGGAGAGAGTAGAGGGAAGATATGAGCACCTATTGGCAGAAAGGTAGGCTACAGAGTACAGATAATGAGGAGAATGAAGAATATAGGGTAGATTTAAAAATGTAATGCTAGTGCACACAGCTGAAGTTTGTAGGTACAAGAGGTTGGGTGCAGGTGGGAAGTGGAAGAGTGGTGGGATCACAAGGTAAAGAGGGTGGTAAAGGAAGAAAAAGTTTGCATGGTATCTTTCCTAATGTAAACCTGTGCATTTCTAGGTGCATGTATTTAAAAATGCATGACATACTCCAGACATGGAAAATAAAAGATCAGTTTACCATTGTCTGGTTCAGTGTTTGCTCCACCAGCGACACACATCGCTGGTAAACTGGACCACAGTATGGCAGGAATCCAGACTGCAGTGCTGTTGCTACACTCGACAAACACTGAAAGTGTATAAAATTGCATATGTAATATTAATATCTTGTGCATCACATGTTAAACATCAACAATAGTTAAAGTTGGATGGTAACAGACAAACCTTTCGAATATTACATCTATTAAAACCAGAACAACTTAATAGATAACAGAATGAAATTGCTTTATTAAAGATTTAAAACAAACATTCTTTTAGTAAAACTACTCTCAGTCTTCTGTGACGTAATCAGGCTATCATCTTTACCTTGCCACTACTCTTGCTGCCTACAATACATTCTCTTCTATATCTGACGGATGAAGCCTACCATGTGGGTGAAATGTTTCAACAAAAATACCCAACTGTTTCATACATCTCTTAACTCATCAACCTGTTGGTATTTTATACCAATTTAAATAGAGAAAACTGTTTAAAATAAAAAAAGGTAACTAAGGAATTTCCAATAGTAACATGAACATATGATGAGATACTGTACTAATTAAGTAAATTCAGCAAATCAAGAACCCCAAAAACAAGATAATATATGGGATGTGTCAGCAGGGTAATATTTAGTGAAGGGATTCAGGGAAACCGGTTATTTTATATAGCCGGACTAGAGTCGTGGAAATGGGAAGTACAATGCCTGCACTTTAAAGGAGGGGTTTTGGGATATTGGCAGTTTGGGGAGGTATGTTGTGTACCTTTATACATATATACTTCTAAACTGTTGTATTCTGAGTACTTCTGCAAAAACAGTGATTATGTGTGAGTGAGGTGAAAGTGTTGAATGATGATGAAAGTATTTTCTTTTTGGGGATTTTCTTTCTTTTTGGGTCACCCTGTCTCGGTGGGAGACAGCCGACTTGTTAAAAAAAAAAAAGTGTCGAGATTACTGCATTCGAAGAAATTCCAATTTCTTTTTAGTTTTTTTTTTTTTTTTTTTTTTTTTCAACAAGTCGGCCGTCTCCCACCGAGGCAGGGTGACCCAAAAAAAAGAAAGAAAATCCCCAAAAAGAAAATACTTTCATCATCATTCAACACTTTCACCACACTCGCACATTATCACTGTTTTTGCAGAGGTGCTCAGAATACAACAGTCTAGAAGCATACACATATAAAGATACACAACATATCCCTCCAAACTGCCAATATCCCAAACCCCTCCCATTTCCAGGACTCAAGTCAAGGAAATGGGAAGTACAATGCCTGCACTTTAAAGGAGGGGTTTGGGATATTGGCAGTTTGGAGGGATATGTTGTGTATCTTTATTTGTGAATGCTTCTAGACTGTTGTATTCTGAGCACCTCTGCAACTTAGAAATATAGAGGACTGGTAATAAGGGTAAAGTTCTGCTCTAGTTACCAAACTATGAAGTACAGTGGACCCCCGCATAACGATATTAATCCGTTCATGAGAGCTCATTGTTATGCGAAATTATCGTTATGCGAATGAATTTTCCCCATAAGAAATAATGTTAATCAAATTAATCCGTGCAAGACACCCAAAAGTATGAAAAAAAAAATTTTACCACATGAAATATACATTTTCCTACACACAAAGAGAAGGATACATGCACAATAGTAGAGTAGTAAATGGCACAATATATTGTGCATGTACTACTCTACTAAATGAAGAATAAATGACACTTACCTTTATTGAAGATGCAGCAATGACTGATGAGACAGTGTGTCCTGGGAGTGCCTTTTCCTCCCGAGTACTGTAGGTCCTGTTTGGCATTTTCTTCCAGAACAGGCCTTATCACACTGTGTATGCCACTACGATTCTTTAATCTCTCAAACCAACCTTTGCTGGCTTTAAATTCACCAATATGAGCACTAGTTCCAGGCATTTTTCCCTGTTCACCTGGGTGTTAGTCGACTGGTGTGGGTTGCATCCTGGGAGACAAGATTAAGGACCCCAATGGAAATAAGTTAGAGAATCCTCGATGATGCACTGACTTTCTTGGGTTATCCTGGGTGGCTAACCCTCCGGGGTTAATTGTTTCTCGGTAATTGTTTCACGTTAAGCCACACCAACAATACACTCTCCACATCTTCGAGTAATACAGCTGATGGTGGTGCAGCAACAACAACAGCTGTGGTGCAGCTGACCATGGTGCAGCAGCAGCTGTGGTGCAGCAGCAGCTGACTAGTACGATAGTATTTATCACCCTTTTTACCACAGGGTTGGCACTAGAAGCTTTCTTTGGGCCCATGGTGGCTTATTTAGCAGTTACAAGCACTATAAATAATGGAATAATACAAAATGTATCGAATGTATGCATGCAACCGGCCACCCTGGCTTGTAAACAATGACGGCAAGGCAGGCGCTCAGGCTGGACGGACAGGTTCGGGACGAGTCATGTTCAGAAACAGCTGATGGTGCAACAGCAGCTGACCGTGGTCCAGCAGCAGCTGACTGGTCCAGCAGCAGCTGACTGGTCCAGCAGCAGCTGACTGGTCCAGCAGCAGCTGACTGGTCCAGCAGCAGCTGACTGGTCCAGCAGCAGCTGACTGGTCCAGCAGCAGCTGACTGGTCCAGCAGCAGCTGACTGGTCCAGCAGCAGCTGACTGGTCCAGCAGCAGCTGACTGGTCCAGCAGCAGCTGACTGGTCCAGCAGCAGCTGACTGGTCCAGCAGCAGCTGACTGGTCCAGCAGCAGCTGACTGGTCCAGCAACAGCTGACTGGTCCAGCAACAGCTGACTGGTCCAGCAACAGCTGACTGGTCCAGCAACAGCTGACTGGTCCAGCAACAGCTGACTGGTCCAGCAACAGCTGACTGGTCCAGCAACAGCTGACTGGTCCAGCAACAGCTGACTGGTCCAGCAACAGCTGACTGGTCCAGCAACAGCTGACTGGTCCAGCAACAGCTGACTGGTCCAGCAACAGCTGACTGGTCCAGCAACAGCTGACTGGTCCAGCAACAGCTGACTGGTCCAGCAACAGCTGACTGGTCCAGCAACAGCTGACTGGTCCAGCAACAGCTGACTGGTCCAGCAACAGCTGACTGGTCCAGCAACAGCTGACTGGTCCAGCAACAGCTGACTGGTCCAGCAACAGCTGACTGGTCCAGCAACAGCTGACTGGTCCAGCAACAGCTGACTGGTCCAGCAACAGCTGACTGGTCCAGCAACAGCTGACTGGTCCAGCAACAGCTGACTGGTCCAGCAACAGCTGACTGGTCCAGCAACAGCTGACTGGTCCAGCAACAGCTGACTGGTCCAGCAACAGCTGACTGGTCCAGCAACAGCTGACTGGTCCAGCAACAGCTGACTGGTCCAGCAACAGCTGACTGATCCAGCAACAGCTGACTGATCCAGCAACAGCTGACTGATCCAGCAACTGCTGACTGATCCAGCAACAGCTGACTGATCCAGCAACAGCTGACTGATCCAGCAACAGCTGACTGGTCAAGCAACAGCCGACCGTGGTGCAGCAGCAGCTGACTGTGGTATGATAGTATTTCTCACCCTTTTTACCACTGGGTTAGCACTAGAGGCTTTCTTGGGGCCCATGGTCACTTATTTTGCAGATGAAATCACCAAAAACGCTGTAATAATACGAAATGTTCCGATTGTATGCTTGGATGTTACCGCGGAGGCTGGCTTGTAAACAATGCCACCGGCGGAACATGTGAAGCTGGCTCAGGCCGCACATTAAAAGCATCTCGGACAAATAGCGTTGAGCGAGTTTTTTAGCGGTATGCGAGGCAAAATTTTAGTGATAAAATGTATCGGTATGCGGATTTAACGTTATGTGATGCCAACGGTATGCAAGGGTCCACTGTACCAGGATGATTTCAGGTCTAGAACTAAATCAAAGGCATGTTCAATTGCAGACCATAATTAGACCAAATAGTTTAGAGAATTAAATCATTACCTCTAACAAAGGAAAAAGATCCTTATCTTCGTCTTTGAGCACATTCCATTTCTCAATCAGTGGAGGCATTAACATCTGAATATATTCTTCTTTATTCAAGTAGTTTCCAACAGAGTCTGCTAGCGTACCAATTGCATCATATAGTATTAGAAGATTTTTTGCCTGAAAAAGAATAGACAATATAAACACAACTGTACATTAATACACTATCATGAAGTCTATTATTATTTAGTCAATTACATACCAAGTACTGCAATCTACATACAGCAAATGGGGAATCGGAGATAATCAGGTTTGATCCAGGGGAAAGTCAGCCCCAATTCCCTCCATCATGAGCCTCTCACTGGCATCAAGGAGGTTCTAAATACAACTTTTTCCCAAGCCAGTGCACATGCATTTTTGTGCATCAAATTTATTACAATGCTAGTGCCTGAGTTAAGGTGTGAGAGATATGAGGGAAGACTTAAGGAAATGAATCTAACACTGGAGAACTGAAGGATCAGGGAAGACATGATAATATACAAAATACTCAAAAGAATTGATAGGGCAGAAAGTCACAGGCTGTTTGAGAGGCAAGACACAGGTACTCAGGAGCATAGTTGGAAGCAAAAGACACAGATGAATCACTGTGATGTCATGAAGTATTTCTTCAGTCTCAGGGTGGTCAGGAGGTGGAAGGACCTCTATGAAGAAGAGGCAGACTCCATACAAAGTTTTAATATGTACAACAAGGCCCACAAGGCTAGGAGTGAGAGAATCTGGGAAGTGGCAAATTGAAAAGCAGGGCCAGGCACTATGACTTGACCCCAGTAACCACACCTAGATGAATACATCAGTACTTTACACATTATCACATCAATTACAAGTGTTCTCTTGCAATACAATTAGTTGCTCTTCAACTCCTATGTTGCACTGAAAATCCTACTCTTCCCACATCAAGGAGTCTGCCAAAGGACCCTGTATATTTTTCCATGTTAAAATTTGCTATGACTTGTGACCTGAAAGAAATTTGCTACAAGTTATGGCCTATTATGGAATGACTTCTGGCATGCAACTAACTTCAAATCATGATTGTAGTGTGATAATTTCTTCACCATTAAAGCAAATTAGTCAAAACAATAGCAGAACAGTAATAACTGTAGGAAACTGATTGTGTTTGCCAACATTTTATGATTTAAAGCAATGCATAACTATAAATGTTCTGCTTGTTAAACCAAACAAATTTATCAATCTCCTCACATTCTTTCACCTACATTTCTTCCCTCCTCTCCGACACAAATAAATGCTTCCCACAAATATTTAAATGTCTTCCAACATAACCACAGACTTTCAGAACATTTCATATTAACCTTCCAGATTTTTACCCCACCTTCCCTTCATAATTTTATAACATTCAAAACTTTTGTAGCCTTCACTTCTCTGAAGAAAATGATGATGATGTTCTTCCAACAAATCAGCCATATCCCACTGAAGCAGGGCAGCCCAAAAAGAAAAACAAAAGTTTCTCTTTTTAACTTTAGTAAAGTATACAGGAGAAGGGGTTACCAGCCCCTTGCTCCTGGCATTTTAATTCTCTTACGACAAGCATGGCTTACGAATAAAGAATTCTGTTCCACTTTCCCCTAGAGATAAAGAGGAAATAAACAAGAACTAGTAAGAAAACAGAAGAAAACTCAGAGGGGTGTGTGTGTATATATATATACTTGTACATGTATGTTTCATATGACTTAAGTGTAAGTAGAAGTAGCAAGACGTACAGTGGACCCTCAACTAACAGCAGCATCGTCTAACGCCAAAATCGACTAATGGCTCTCTTTGGCGTCAAAACATTGGCTCTACCAACGCCAAAAAACTTGTCTAAAGGCTTTCGTCCCGAATGTGTCCACGCACCCCGAACGGACCTAGCCACTCCAAGTCTCCATGTATAGCCAGTATACCATTGTTTACAAGTCGTTGCAGTCGATTCCATGCATACATGATATATATTTTGAATTATTCCATTGTTTTTAGTGCTTGTAACTACTAATTAAGCCACCATGGGCCCTAAGAAAGTTTCTAGTGCCAGCCCTGTGATAAAGAAGAAAAGAAACAATAAAATTCAAGAAAAAACTTGTAGCAAAGTACCAAAGTGGAGGAGGAAGAGAGAGGGGAGAATGTGCCTTCTGCAGTGATTCAGTGATTCTACGATATGTACGATACAAAAGCAGCAGGTATCGATAAAGGCTAGTGCCAGCCAGCGATGAAGTGTAAAATTAACAGTGTAGCAAGTTAAGCGATAGAAAAACGACACATTAGTAACTCTCCAATGTTGTTGGATGTGTGTATATCCACAGGACATATGCCAGCCTGCTATCTTCCACCACCCTAAACCTCTGCCAGCATCTCCATCAAACTAACTAAATAAACTAAAATCTTCTCCAAGATATGTGTAAATATAAAAGTGGAAACATATAAGTAAATATAAGTGTAAATATAAAAGGACCCCAATGGAAATACGCAAGTCACTGACATACTTGGGTTATCCTGGGTACTTTACATATATGCTGCTATGTATGATAATCTATAACTGCACTTGTGTATACCTGAATAAACTTTTTTATAAATTAAAATGTAAATACACCTACCATCCGACTTACGACCTGCTCGACTTACAACCACTCGACTTACAACCATGTTTTTTTTGCCAAATTTCTGGGAAATAAACAACTATTTGTGTTGTACACAGTGTTTATCCTAAACCTTACAGTATAAAATACAGTACTAACAACATAAAAAGTAAAGTAAAACATGAAATACCAAAATAAAACAATAAAATAAAAGTCATTACAAAAATGTTTTGTTGATATTCTGTAGTAAAGTTCGACTTACGACCATTTCGACTTACGACCGGTTCCTCGGAACCGAACTCAGATGGTAGGTGTATTTCTTATTTATAAATTACATACATTAAGTGTGATGGTGGTGGTGGCGGTAGAAGCCTCCACCAACACGGCTTCTTTCAGTGGCAGCCCTTAAACCCAACAACACCACTTACACCATTTACTCCTCTCATACATTATGACATTTTATTCATTCTAGAGTATATATCATGTTTCTGTTATTAACCCTTTGACTGTTTCAGGCCCCTCTCTGAAACTGTCATTCTATGTCGCTCAATTCTTGAAAAAAAAAATTCTTATGAAATGATAGAGAATCTTTTCCCGATGGTAATGACACCAAAAGTTCGAAATTTGGTCGAAAACTCATGGAATTATGCTCCCGTGAAGTTAGCTGTCTCGGCGACATATGCGTATCGGCGATTTCGCTGACTTTGAGCCCTATTTTCAGCCAATTCCATTGTTCCAGTTGACCAAACTCATAGCTATTTCTTTAGTACTCCATTTTATCTATCAGCTGAGTACAAGACACCTCCCATTTACTAATTTGGACTACCCAATATAGTGGTCAGAAATTGGCAATTTGGCCAATTTCACGCAAACTAAAAAAGATGCCAATTTCAAAATAGGGTCCAGAATAAACAAGGTAGACATTCGTGGCACTAAAATAACATATGCTCTGTTCATTAGTCACATCTCTAGGCCCCTCTTATATTATTATTGCTTTCTATTTTGATTTTTTATTCATACAAAAAAATACAAAATTTACTGTTATGCAGACTACTGCATTATTGTAAAAATGGTATAAATAATATCAGTGCACTAGTGAAAGAATATTAGACTCCCCAGTTGACGTGTATTGGACATGTGGTGTGATTTATTTACTCCTGAACATTGGTAAAAATCGAACATTTCTGCTACTTTGAGCTCAGTTTCAAGGTCGTTTTCATCGTCTAAGTAATGAAAATCATCTCTATTTCTGTAATATGTTTTCCATTTTATCACCTAAGACCATGAAAACGCGAATACAACGATAAATACTATACGAAAATACACCTCAAATTCGGCGTTTTATTCCAAAAAAAACGATCAGTTTTTTTTTTTCATTACGCAATGTGTGCTGCAGGATTTTTTTTATGTGGTGCACACTGACCACACAGACCCATTCTCTCACATGTGGGCCTACCAGCTTTCTCCCACTTGATTTGAAGCCGCTAGAATTATTGAGTATATATGTCAGAAACATTGGCTCGTAAGACGTATTTATACGTCGAAAACAGTCAAAGGGTTTATATTGTTTGTCATATTAGATGAATTGCACATACATGTACATGTACACACATACATGTACACGTTTATTTATACACACTCATCTGAGTTTTCTTTGATTTTATCTTAATAGTTCTTGGTCTTATTACTTTTCCTTTTATATCCATGGGGAAGTGGAATAAGAATCTTTCCTCCGTAAGCCATGCGTGTTGTAAAAGTCAACTAAAATGCCGGGAACAATGGGCTAGTAACCCCTTTTCCTGTAAAGATTACTAAAAAGAATAAGTAGAAAAATTGTCAAAGTGGGAAGTCTAAATGTGCGTGGATGTTGTGCAAATGATAAGAAAGAGATGATTGTGGATGTTATGAATGAGAAGAAGCTGGATGTCCTGGCTTTAAGTGAAACAAAGCTGATGGGGGTGGGAGAGTTTCAATGGAGAGGAATAAATGGGATTAGGTCAGGGGTTTCAAATAGAGTTAGAGCTAAAGAAGGAGTAGCAATAATGTTGAAGGATAAGCTATGGCAGGAAAAGAGGGACTACAAATGTATTAATTCAAGGATTATGTGGAGTAAAATAAAGATTGGATGTGAAAAGTGGGTTATAATAAGCGTGTATGCACCTGGAGAAGAGAGAAGTGTAGAGGAGAGAGAGAGATTTTGGGAAATGTTGAGTGAATGCGTGGGGAGTTTTGAATCAAGTGTGAGAGTAATGGTGGTTGGGGATTTCAATGCTAAAGTGGGTAAAAATGTTATGGAGGGAGTAGTAGGTAAATTTGGGGTGCCAGGGGTAAATGTAAATGGGGAGCCTTTAATTGAGCTGTGTGTAGAAAGAAATTTGGTAATAAGTAATACATATTTTATGAAAAAGAGGATAAATAAATATACAAGGTATGATGTAGCATGTAATGAAAGTAGTTTGTTAGATTATGTATTGGTGGATAAAAGGTTGATGGGTAGGCTCCAGGATGTACATGTTTATAGAGGGGCAACTGATATATCGGATCATTATTTAGTTGTAGCTACAGTTAGAGTAAGAGGTAAATGGGAAAAGAGGAAGGTGGCAAAAACAAGAGGGAGGTGAAAGTGTATAAACTAAGGGAGGAGGAAGTTCGGGTGAGATATAAGCGACTATTGTCAGAAAGGTGGCCTAGTGTAAAGAAGAGTAGTGGGGGGGTTGAAGAGGGTTGGAATAGTTTTAAAAATGCAGTATTAGAAAGTGGGGCAGAAGTTTGTGGTTATAGGCTGGGGTGGGGGCAGGAGGAAAGAGGAGTGATTGGTGGAATGATGAAGTAAAGGGTGTGATAAAAGAGAAAAAGGTAGCTTATGAGAGGTTTTTACAAAGCAGAAGTGTTATAAGAAGAGCAGAGTATATGGAGAGTAAAAGAAAGGTGAAGAGAGTGGTGAGAGAGTGCAAAAGAAGAGCAGATGAAAGAGTGGGAGAGGCACTGTCAAGAAATTTTAATGAAAATAAGAAAAAATTTTGGAGTGAGTTAAACAAGTTAAGAAAGCCTAGGGAAAGTATGGATTTGTCAGTTAAAAACAGAGTAGGGGAGTTAGTAGATGGGGAGATGGAGGTATTAGGTAGATGGCGAGAATATTTTGAGGAACTTTTAAATGGTGAGGAAGAAAGGGAGGCAGTAATTTCATGCACTGGTCAGGGAGGTATACCATCTTTTAGGAGTGAAGAAGAGCAGAATGCAAGTGTGGTGGAGATACGTGAGGCATTACGTAGAATGAAAGGGGGTAAAGCAGCTGGAACTGATGGGATCATGACAGAAATGTTAAAAGCAGGGGGGGATATAGTGTTGGAGTGGTTGGTACTTTTGTTTAATAAATGTATGAAAGAGGGGAAGGTACCTAGGGATTGGCGGAGAGCATGTATAGTCCCTTTATATAAAGGGAAAGGGGACAAAAGAGATTGTAAAAATTATAGAGGAATAAGTTTACTGAGTATAACAGGAAAAGTACACAGTAGGGTTATAATTGAAAGAATTAGAGGTAAGACAGAATGTAGGATTGCAGATGAGCAAGGAAGTTTCAGAGTGGGTAGGGGATGTGTAGATCAAGTGTTAACATTGAAGCATATATGTGAACAGTATTTAGATAAAGGTAGGGAAGTTTTTATTGCATTTATGGATTTAGAAAAGGCATATGATAGAGTGGATAGAGGAGCAATATGGCAGATGTTGCAAGTATATGGAATAGGTGGTAAGTTACTAAATGCTGTTAAGAGTTTTTATGAGGATAGTGAGGCTCAGGTTAGGGTGTAGAAGAGAGGGAGAATACTTCCCGGTAAAAGAAGGTCTTAGACAGGGATGTGTAATGTCACCATGGTTGTTTAATATATTTATAGATGGGGTTGTAAAAGAAGCAAATGCTAGGGTGTTCGGTAGAGGGGTGGGATTAAATTATGGGGAATCAAATTGAAAATGGGAATTGACACAGTTACTTTTTGCTGATGATACTGTGCTTATGGGAGATTCTAAAGAAAAATTGCAAAGGTTAGTGGATGAGTTTGGGAATGTGTGTAAAGGTAGAAAGTTGAAAGTGAACATAGAAAAGAGTAAGGTGATAAGGGTATCAAATGATTTAGATAAAGAAAATTGGATATCAAATTGGGGAGGAGGAGTATGGAAGAAGTGAATGTTTTCAGATACTTGGGAGTTGATGTGTCGGCGGATGGATTTATGAAGGATGAGGTTAATCATAGAATTGATGAGGGAAAAAAGGTGAGTGGTGCGTTGAGGTATATGTGGAGTCAAAAAACGTTATCTATGGAGGCAAAGAAGGGAATGTATGAAAGTATAGTAGTACCAACACTCTTATATGGGTGTGAAGCTTGGGTGGTAAATGCAGCAGCGAGGAGACGGTTGGAGGCAGTGGAGATGTCCTGTTTAAGGGCAATGTGTGGTGTAAATATTATGCAGAAAATTCAGAGTGTGGAAATTAGGAGAAGGTGTGGAGTTAATAAAAGTATTAGTCAGAGGGCAGAAGAGGGGTTGTTGAGGTGGTTTGGTCATTTAGAGAGAATGGATCAAAGTAGAATGACATGGAAAGCATATAAATCTATAGGGGAAGGAAGGCGGGGTAGGGGTCGTCCTCGAAAGGGTTGGAGAGAGGGGGTAAAGGAGGTTTTGTGGGCGAGGGGCTTGGACTTTGGAGGGATGAGTGTGTATTTATATGTTAATGTAGACGTGTATTGGGACCCTGACGACTGTTGGAGTGTGTGAGGTGAATATGAGTGAAGATTCAGGGAAGGTTTTTTCATATAGTCGGTACTAGTCCTCGGTGGGAGACAGCCTGCACTTTAAAAAGGAGGTTTTTCATATTGGCATTTGAGCGGAAATGGGAATAAATCATGCACTTTAAAACTGTGTTTGTATTCTATATGCCAACATTCTGGGCTGCAAAAACAGTGATAATGTAAGAGTGTGGTGAAAGTGTTGAATGATGATAAAAGTATTTTCTTTTTGGGGATTTTCTTTCTTTTTTGGGTCACCCTGCCTTGGTGGGAGACGGCCGACTTGTTTTTAAAAAAAAAAAAAAAAAAAAAAAGCCGTAGAGATGATATTAGCGTCATATTGAAGTATAATAAGCTTGCCTTCCTCTTGCCACCTCCGTGTCTACTATACACCAACAAGTCATCAAAAAGGTAAGTGTGGTGTTAAATATTCATTTATCCATTTTATTAGTGCCTTATATTTATTTGTCATTGTTTTCTGTATGTATATTTATATTTAATCTTTAAAAAAATATTTTTTGTTAATACTTTTGGCTGTCAAACGGATTAATTGGATTTCCATCGTTTCTTATGGGAAAAATTAATTCGACTAACGGCTAATTCGACTAAAGGCTAGCTCTCTGGAACGGATTAAAGGCGTTAGTTGAGGGTCCACTGTACCTGAAATCTTGCATGTTCAGGAGACAAAATGAGACACCAGTAATCCTACTATCACTTAAAACAATTACAGGATATTTTTTTTAACACATTGGCCATTTCCCAAGGTAGAGTGACCCAAAAAGAAAAAGAAAAAACTTTCATCATCATTCAACACTTTCACCATCACTCATACATAATCACTGTCTTATCAGAGGTGCTCAGATACAACAGTTTAGATGTCCCTCCAAACTGCCAATATCCTAAACCCCTCCTTTCAAGTGCAGGCATTGTACTTTCCATTTCCAGGACTCAAGTCCGGCTAACCAGTTTCCGTGAATCCCTTCACAAAATATTACCATGCTCATACTCCAACAGCTCGTCAAGTCCCAAAAACCCTTTGTCTCCATTCACAAACACGCTTGCTGGAAGTTCAAGCCCCTCGCCCACAAATCCTCCTTTACCCCCTCCCTCCAACCTTTTCGGGGACAACCTCTACCCCGCCTTCCTTCCCGAACAGATTTATACGTTTCCCAAGTCATTCTACTTTGTTCCATTCTCTCTAAAATGACCAAACCACCTCAACAGCCCCTCCTCAGCCCGACTAATACTTTTAGTAACTCCACACCTCCTCCTAATTTCCACACAACGAATTCTCTGCATAATATTTACACCACATATTGCACTTAGACATGACATCTCCACTACCTCTAGCCACCTCCCTGCTGCAGCATTTACAACACATGCTTTACACCCATATAAGAGAGTTGGTACCAGTATACTTTCGCCTTTTTTCCTTCATCAATTCCATGGTTTACCTCTTCCTTCATAAACCCATATGCTGACAAGTCAACTCCCAAATATCTGAAAACATTCACTTCTTCCATACTCCCTCCCTCCAATGTGATATCCAATTTTTCTTTATCTAAATCATTTGATCCCCTCATCACCTTACTCTTATCTATATTCACTTTCAACTTTCTACCTTTACACACCCTCCCAAACTTATCCACGAACCTTTGCAACTTTTCTTTAGAATCCCCCGAAAGCACAGTATCATCAGCAAAAAGTAACCGTGCCAACTCCCATTTTGTATTTGATTCCCCATAATTTAATCCCACCCCTCTCCCCAACACCCTAGCATTTACTTCTTTTACAACCCCATCTATAAATATGTTAAACAACCATGGCGACATTACACATCCCTGTTTAAGACCTACTTTTACTGGGAAGTATTCTCCCTCTCTCCTACACACCCTAACCTGAGCCTTGCTATCCTCATAAAAACTCTTTACAGCATTTAGTATTATTATTATTATAATCAAGGGGAAGCGCTAAACCCGGAGGATTATACAGCACCTGGGGGGGGGGTATGTGGAAGGCATTCAGGCTTAATTCGGGGAACTGGAGCACAGATCCAATTCCCTAAATCAAGAGCCCCTCACCAACATCAAGGAACCTTCCTTGAGGGGACAGCATTTAGTAACTTACTATTTCATACACTTGTAACATCTGCCACATTGCTCTCCTATCCACTATCATATGCCTTTTCTAAATCCATAAATGAAGTTCTACATCAATATTTTCCAATTTTTTTTTTTTTTTTTTTTTTTTTTAACAAGTCAGCCATCTCCCACTGAGGCAGGGTGACAAATATTTATTATTCATAAATAAGCTTATTTTCTTCCCTAACAACTTTTGAGAAATAAATCACCAATGACCTTGACTTGACTGTCAAGTGTTAATTCAAACTACCAACCTGATATTTCTTGAAAGCAAACACTAAAGTTTTGAGGATATCAGCCAGGTAAGGGACCAATTCTGTGCAAGCTTCCTCCTCAAGAGTGGCAAAAGCAGAGCAAGCAGCTTCTTGTACTCTCTTGTTGCTGTCCAACACACACTTTAGCAGCTGAAAAAAAAAAAAAAGTTTCTGATGAAAATGGAATATCAATTTGGTATTAGGGATTATGCAATTACGTATTTGTCACTGGATAAATAATTTGTTAGGTAAAAGGTCACATGTGCAATGAATGCAACATTTTACTGTGGCAGTGTTTCAATCTCCAAGAGTTTTGTCAAGCTGTTGCAATGGCTTGATAAAGTTCCTGAAGAGCAAAACATTGCCACAATAAAGTATCTCATTAACTGCACATCCTTTTACCTAACATAGTTGGTAATTCTACCAACATTACTACAAATAATTTATTGTTGTACTTGTTCTTTCTCACTCTGACCCTGTATTTGCCACAGCTACATTGAGGAGCTATGCATCAGTCTCAACAATAACTTTCGTTTAATGAACATAACTAGTGTTTTCAGCCAATAAAAAAAATTTCCCAAGATCGTACCCAACAACAAAGCAGCAAAGACAAAAAATACCAAACCCATTAATATTTTTTTATTAACATATCAACCATGTCCCACCAAGGGTGACCCGAAATAGAAGAAACACTTTCATCATCGTTTACTCCATCACTGTCTTGCAGAGGCGTGCCTACACTAGTTAAAAAACTGCTATTTATCTCCTCTCCTTCAGATCACAGGCACTATACTTCCCACCTCCAGGACTCAAGTCTGGCTAACCGGTTTCCCCAAATCCCTTCAAAAATACCTAATAGCAATTAGTCCTGACAATACTTATCAACCAGATGTATATACACACACCTCATACATTAAAGGTTTGAGGTAGGTGTGGTCAGGGAGAACAACGGCCCAGTGACAGTAACGGGAGAGGGTCCAGCAGGTGATTGAGCGAACCAGAGCTTTTTTGTCTTGAAGGCAGTTAATCAGGTACGGGATGAGCTCAGGAAGATGCTGGGTCATGCCATTCATGCAGCCTTCTGCAATGGCCCCCAGAGCAAGGATCCCTGAAAAAATGGAAGAAAAACTCTTAGCAAACATTATACATTATTAAGGTACAGCTAAGTAGAAGTGTGTGGAACAACTACTGACAAGATTCAAAATAAATACAGGAGAGATGTTTTTAGCCAAACACTGAATTATTAGTATATTGCATGCATAAACTGAACAAATCTATTAATATATACATGTCAAGTATATTTGATAAAAAGGGATTAATATAAGAAGAAAGAAAAAAATACTTTAATAAATGTTTGGTCCAAGGAGTTGTGTTTGTGTCATCTTGCAGTTCTTTACATTGAAACTTAGAAAAAAGCTAGTCCATGCTAATAAGTTTTTTCACCTGATTCACGAATCTCCCACTCTTGGTGAAAGAGCGTCTCCTTTAGAATGGGCAGGATAACTGGCAACATATCTTCCCGGAACACATTGGCCAATACATCTAAGGCAGCCGCCGAACACTAAAAAGTATCAAACGTCAAGATCAGTAGTAAATAAAAAATAACTAACGTAAGAGTTAAATAACAAGAAAGGCACAATACCGTGACTGGAACGATACACAAATAACCCGCACATAAAAGAGAGAAGCTTATGACGACATTTTGGTCAAACTTGGACCATTGACAGTCACAGTGTGACTTTGTCAATGGTCCAAGTCAGACCGAAACGTCGTCATAAGTTTCTCTCTTTTGTGTGCGGGTTATTTGTGCAAGAGTTAAAAGTAACCTTCAACAATGAATGCATAAAAACATGCCCTATGGATAAGTAATTATACATCACTTGTGACCAGTTTCAAGTTTCAAAGTTTGGCCAAGGTAATACAATAATTTGTATTTCTAACCAATAAAATACAAAATACAAAGGCAGTAAAGGATATAAAATGTTCTAAACAGTACAAATAAACCTGTTTCTAACAAGTACAGATTTTCTGAAGTGTAAAGCTATAAAGTTATCTTCAACATGATGCCTCACCATATACTCAACTACTAAATTAATGGTATACTCAACACCACTTTAAACTTTAACAGGTTAAAAGTAAAGTCAAAAGGCATGATGCAACATTGAGAACATTCTACCTTTCTTAAATTCCAGTCTGAGAGTGAGGAGTCATCATCTAATCCATCATCAGATTCATCGTCTGGGAATTCTTCTCCGCTACCACCATTTTCCATCGGTTCATGACGTATAGTATGCCGAGACTTGTGAAACCGAGGTTTGATGTCTTCACTACGATCGGGCACACTTTCATCCTCCTCTACATCTCCCTGAAATGAAAACAGTTTTTCGAATTACTCAACACCAGATCTCCTTAGAATTTTTTTTTTTTTAAAACTGAAATCATTATTTCTACTGTAATGTTTAAACCCCTTTCAGTGGCTATCACATAAAACTACATCACTGAGGCCAGGGTCCCACACGTAGTTCTACATGATGAGCTCAGCTCAACATAATGGTAAATTCTGGCCTAGATGAGAGAATGGGTAGGTGCAGATCATGATAGAAGAAGCAAATCTTTGACCTTGTGTTTAGTTTAAAGTAGCAACTATGAGGCATTTTCTAGGATGGTTTTTATTGGTTTATTGGCAGTTTCTTGGTATCATTTGAGAGAATGGAAGACATACTGCTAAAACAGAGATGATTTTGGTTGGTTTCAGGACCACAAGCTTGAAAATGGGTTAAAGTAGCGGATATACTCTATTTTCATGATTATCCAGAGGACAGATAGGGCCACCTACGCTCTGTTTTATGGGTTTTTAATAGGCAATTCAATTATTGGGATTATGAATTCAAAATGGATGGCAAGTGTAATATAGGAGAGGCCTGGGGATATAATTAACAAACAGAGGAAATGTTTTAGTGCCAGGAATGTCCATATTGATTATTTTGGACTATTTGTAAATAGGCATTTTTTAATTTGGGTAAAATTGGCCAAATTACCAACTTCTGTGTACTTTATAAGGTTTACACAAATGGTATACAATACCGACAAGATGAAAATTAGACATGCATGCAACATCTGAGTACTCAGATGTTGCATGCGTCTAATTTTCACTATTAGTTATAATAGATGAATGGTTTATTGTGCTTAACTGACATAATAGAAGACATACTAGCAAAACAGCTCAGAGTTTTGTCAAAAGGAGCAATAGAATTAGCTTAAAATAGGATGCAAAGTGGACGAAATTGCCTGTGAATAAATTGCACCCACACTAAGTTTACAACTGTATAATTCCCTCCTAAGTTTTCCATCAAGTTTCGTACTCGGTGTCAGTACCTTCACAAATGCTTTTTCAGGTGTTTTGTTTTTAAAAGTGGACACTGAGTGCAATATTAATTTTGAGGGTCGGGACAGTGAAAGGGTTAACAAACCTGGCACATGTGTGACCAAACAACTTTCAGTATTGCAATAATATAAACACCCCAACACTCACCTTCAAGAGAATGATGTCAATTTCAGAGTATTTCATACCCCGAACCAGGATAGGTATCAATTTGGGGAGGTGGGGTTTAAGGGCTTCTTTACAAATTGGATGTTCTGCTAATGAAAGCCAGAATTCACAGGCTTCTAGTGCTACATTTTCATCAGGATCCTGAAAAGTACACATAATATTTTATTCACTTTCCTCGTTTTTCTGCAAAAGGTTGAATTAATATTAACCCTTAAATGGTCCAAACGTATATATACGTTTTTTCAACATCTGAAAGTATGTAAAAAAATGTAGATCTTTTTTGTTTTACATTTGAAAACGTGTAAAAATAAACTTTTATCTACACTTTTTTTTTGTTACATTTGAAAATATGTTAAAAAAAAAAAGTAGATTTACTTTTGTAGCACTACGAATTTGAACGTCTATTTGTTTGGACCGTTTAAGGGTTAAAAACAGAAGTCGTACAAATGCCCAAAAGTACAAAACTCACAATAATGAAAGCTAATAAAACACAAATGCTATTATGCCATAATTAATAGTTTTACATATCATTCACTTTAAAAAATTTTCAAATAGAAAAATGGCTGGTGATGGAAGTCAAAATTGTTTTGCTAGGATCATTACAATATTCAACAATTCTGTAACCATCACACTGTCTTGTATATAAATCAACTGATGCAGTGGATTCATCTATTACTTTTTTCCCCTCTAATTTCTTAAATTTTTCTCACTAACTGCTGTAAAGATTAATTTCAATTTTGTTTAAAGCTCTTTCTTCATTACTAATTCCTATATTTATATGCTTCACAACAGGCCTTTCTCACCTACCTGTGTTCTTATCATCATATACTCAATAATGCTGTGCATGTGAGGAATAAGGGAGGAAATGTGGGCATCCAAGAGCATGACGAGAGCACGACACACATTTTTGCGTACGTCTGCATCGTCATCCATGGCCAAGTGAAACAAATTCTGTAAATATAATTGCTACAGGTTAAAACAAGACCCACAAACATACAGCTTTCCTACTGCTTACTGAAGACACCAATGCCATATACACACAGTACAATACAAGCTATATGGTGCGTTTTTGAACACCTTCAATATATGCAATACAGGTACATAGACAGTATGAAAAATATACAATAAAGAGCATGTAGTGTATTTAAGTAAAAGTTGCTAATGATTGAAAACAATCACAATTTGTTAGTACAGAAATTTAGCACAAAATGTGTTTATAAAACTAACAAAATTACCTTCACATAATAATTTAAAAGTAATGCTTACTCTAACTTCTTTTGGAATTTTGCTTTCTGCATCAACTTTCAGAATTTTGCTTCCTGCATCATCTTTCAGAATTTTGCTGCTTCCTGCATTATCTTTCAGAATTTTGCTGCTTCCTGCATTATCTTTCAGAATTCCTGCCATGACTACACTACACCAACTTGATAACACTTACACTTTAGTTCAAGGTTATTTCTATCCTTACATTTGAAGGCCTTGAAAGTTAAATATATAATGTGTATCACCAGCTGGGGCTAGCAACCATCACAAACAGCAAGGATGCAGCAACAATATATAAATAAATGAAACTTGCACAAATATCTCCCAGTAACCTTTCTCCTGGCAACAATACACATAACAGACTAACAAGTGCTGCAAATTATTTACATCACAAGTGTACACAACTAATCTGCCTCTGTATTAAAGCAGTTATTTCACTGTTCCACTAGCTGAAAATCCTTAAGGCAAGACAAGATGTATGCTTGAAGCCTGAGCTGCTGATACTGCCACAGCTCACCCACCAGATATTCCTGGTACTAGGGAAGGTGAAAGCACAGAGCTGATGATGTGGACACTCAGCCACTAGACATGTTCCAACAAGGAACCCATCACACACCTACTAATACCACCCAACTTCACTCACCATCTGCACCTTCATCAAATCTACCTGCCATATTACTGCACATAAAATACAGTATACTAAGAACACACGAAAGTGAAACATCTTCTAGGAGCCAGCTAAACATTCCAACATGTTTCAAACAAGAATGACTTCCAGTGCATGTCCTGGTGACTCACTCCTGATTTCTCAATTCTAATGGCACAGGGCCTCACCTACTTTAGTATTCTTATCAATATGAACATGCAAGCTCTTGACAAGTACTAAACTTGTAACAACTTGAAATACTGGGACTACACACAAACAACAATTACAATACTCCTTCATTAGGGAAAAAGTGTACCATTACAATATGTTTATGTTCAAAGTAGGAAGATGGTGGGGGTATGGGGAGAGGGGGGGAAGACAAAAACAATTAAGAGATGAGAGGAGATAAGCAATAAGAAGAGGGAAGGAGATAAGAGCAAATGAGATCAGAAAAAAATAAATGGGAAATAAGAGATAAAAGGAAAAAGGGGAGATATGAGGAGATACACAAGATGAAAGGAGAAATATGAGAAAGCAGGAAATAAGAGGGAAGTGATACAAATACTGTAGATATATATACAAGATAAAGATGAGAAGAGAAAGATAAAAAAAAGAGGAAAGAGGGGAGTAGAGAGATGCGAGCGAGAGAGATGCGAGAGAGAGAGATGCGAGAGAGAGATGCGAGCGAGAGAGATGCGAGAGAGATGCGAGAGAGATGCGAGAGAGATGCGAGAGAGAGATGCGAGAGAGATGCGAGAGAGAGATGCGAGAGAGATGCGAGAGAGATGCGAGAGAGATGCGAGAGAGATGCGAGAGAGATGCGAGAGAGATGCGAGAGAGATGCGAGAGATGCGAGAGAGATGCGAGAGATGCGAGAGAGATGCGAGAGATGCGAGAGAGCGAGAGATGCGAGAGAGATGCGAGAGAGAGATGCGAGAGAGAGGGGATGAGATGCGAGAGAGATGCGAGAGAGAGATGCGAGAGAGAGATGCGAGAGAGAGATGCGAGAGAGAGATGCGAGAGAGAGATGCGAGAGAGAGATGCGAGAGAGAGATGCGAGAGAGGATCGAGAGAGATGCGAGAGAGAGATGCGAAGAGAGATGCGAGAGAGATGCGAGAGAGATGCGAGAGAGATGCGAGAGAGATGCGAGAGAGATGCGAAGAGATGAGAGAGATGCGAGAGAGAGAGATGCGAGAGAGATATGTGAGAGAGAGATATGTGAGAGAGAGAGATGCGAGAGAGATGCGAGAGATATGCGAGAGAGAGATGCGAGAGAGATGCGAGAGAGAGATGCGAGAGAGAGGGGCGAGAGAGGGGCGAGAGAGAGGGGCGAGAGAGAGGGGCGAGAGAGAGGGGCGAGAGAGAGGGGCGAGAGAGATGCGAGAGTGATGCGAGAAAGAGGAGACAAGTAAAAATCAAACAGAGAAAAGGAGATACAAGGGAATAGAGGGGATAGAGAAATAAGATAGATAACTAGACAGTAGAGAAAAAAAAAGAGGAAGGAAGGTTACAAATAGACAAAACAAGCACCATGCAAATCGCCAATTTCATTCAGCAACACAAAATTGCACGAATGATCATGTTGATTCCCAGATGGACCAGGGCGGCGCTCCCCCAGCTGGACCAGGGCAGTGCTCCCCCAGCTGGACCTGAGCGGCGCTCCCCCAGCTGGACCTGAGCGGCGCTCCCCCAGCTGGACCTGAGCGGCGCTCCCCCAGCTGGACCAGGGCGGCGCTCCCCCAGCTGGACCAGGGCGGTGCTCCCCCAGCTGGACCAGGGCGGCGCTCCCCCAGCTGGACCAGGGCGGCGCTCCCCCAGCTGGACCAGGGCAGCGCTCCCCCAGCTGGACCAGGGCGGCGCTCCCCCAGCTGGACCAGGGCGGCGCTCCCCCAGCTGGACCAGGGCGGCGCTCCCCCAGCTGGATCAGGGCGGCGCTCCCCCAGCTGGACCAGGGCGGCGCTCCCCCAGCTGGACCAGGGCGGTGCTCCCCCAGCTGGACCAGGGCGGCACTCCCCCAGCTGGACCAGGGCGGCGCTCCCCCAGCTGGACCTAGGCGGTGCTCCCCTAGTTGGACCTGAGCAGCACTCCCCCAGCTGGACCAGGGCAGCGCTCCCCCAGCTGCACCAGGGCAGCACTCCCCCAGCTGGACCTGAGCAGCACTGACTAGCTTGACCACAGCAGCACTGCCCAACTTTTTAAAGCCCTGACCACAGCAGTGCTGCCCAACTTTTTAAAGCCCTGACCACAGCAGCACTGCCCAACTTTTTAAAGCCTTGACCACAGCAGCACTGCCCAACTTTTTAAAGCCCTGACCACAGCAGCACTGCCCAACTTTTTAAAGCCCTGACCACAGCAGCACTGCCCAACTTTTCAAAGCTCTGACCACAGCAGCACTGCCCAACTTTAAAAGACTGAGCAGCTGCTGCAGGTGTGATCACTACCAGATCAATGGAGCTATAGAACATGCAGCAGCTTGAAAAATCATGTTATACAAGTCATGTTAAGAGGAACGGGCCGGGACTCCAGTAACATTACTGTAGTTTCATCTTGTGTGTTTACACAAAGGGTAATTTAATAACGCTGGGAAATACAATATTCTGCAATTTAAAAAATGCTGAAAGTAAAAGGTCAGTCAGTATCATATAGTATGATGAAATTTTGGATGGTGTAGTCAAGAGGGTAACCTGATTTGTTGTCACCTCACTTCTAGAGTATCAGTGATGGAACGAATGATGAAGGGCTTTCTTCCAGTCACTCAGCCTTGGTAGGACACAAGTCACTGAGGAAAAACTATTCAACCACCACAAGAAGCAATACACAAAGTCCTTCATCCCCCCCTTAAAACACAACCCAGCCATAAACAAAATTATAAAAGGCTTTAAAAAATTAGTATTCATTAACAAGGCCACAAGACCAACCTTGATAAAAGTTCTTACTTAAATGTGAACCTCTTCAACACCACCCGTGACTGGTGTTAAGCGTTCCCACTCTAGTATATTGGGAGGGGCAGCTGGGAGGGGGTGGAGGGAAGAAAGGGGAATGTAGATATATTGTAGGGACTGGATGTGGCACTGGAGGGTGCTGGATGCACCACTGGAAGGACTGGATGTACTGGAGGGAGTGGATGTTGTACTGGGAGGGGAGAGCAGATGTTGTACTGGGAGGAGGAAGTGGATGTTGTACTGGGAGGGGAGAGCGGATGTTGTACTGGGAGGAGGAAGTGGATGTTGTACTGGGAGGGGAGAGCGGATGTTGTACTGGGAGGAGGAAGTGGATGTTGTAATGAGAGCGAGAAGTGGATGTAGCAATGGGAGGGGGAAGTGGATGTAGTACTGGGAGGGGGAAGTGGATGTAGTACTGGGAGGGGTAAGTGGATGTAGTACTGGGAGGGGGAAGTGGATGTAGTACTGGGAGGGGGGAAATGGATGTAGTACTGGGAGGAAGTGGATGTAGTACTGGGAGGGGGAAGTGGATGTAGTACTGGAGGGGGAAGTGGATGTAGTACTGGGAGGGGGAAGTGGATTGTTGTAATGGGAGGGGGAAGTGGATGTAGTACTAGGGGAAGTGGATGTAGTACTGGGAGGGGAAGTGGATGTAGTACTGGGAGGGGGAAGTGGATGTAGTACTGGGAGGGAGGAGTGGATGTTGTACTGGGAGGGGGGAGTGGATGTTGTACTGGGAGGGGGGAGTGGATGTTGTACTGGGAGGGGAGTGGATGTACTGGGAGGGGGAGTGGATGTTGTACTGGGAGGAACTGCATGTTGTACTGGAGGGGGACGAGTTGTACTGGTAGAGGGGACTGCTGTACTGGGAGGGGGGACTGTTGTAGTGGGAGGGGGGAATGGATGTTGTACTGGTAGGGGGGGCTATGTTGTACTGGGAGGGGGGACGATGTTGTACTGGGAGGGGGGACTGGATGTTGTACTGGGAGGGAAAACTGGATGTTTTACTGGGAGGAAAACTGGATGTTTTACTGGGAAGGGGACTAATGTTGTATTGGGAGGGGAGTGGATGTACTGGGAGAGGGAAGTGGATGTCGTA